ATCTGTTTCACTTTAATAAGCTGGTTTTCCGGCATCTTAATGGTGTAGATTAATATAACCTTTTTTTTTTCTCTGTTCTTATTTTTTCGCCCCCCAGGCCCCGTTGTGGGTCGATGACCTGTGCCCGGGTGGGCTAATTCCCATAAAAAAAGAAAGAAAAAGCTCTTGTTCCCTCATTGTATAAAGCCCCACACTGACGGGGTGATCAGCTAATAGTGACAGATCAGTTGGACACTTGACTCATATTGCCAGTATGGTAGAGCTCACTTTAGCAGGGGCAGATCCAGGAATATCAATTGGGGGGGTCCAAGAAGTTGTGGGTGGGGGAACATGGCAAACACAGTGAGTCCACCCAGCTTGGTGGGCCAAAAATGCTTCATTACAATACTGCATTAAAGAAAAGTATTGGAATCTTCAGATGAAAGAGGGGGAGGTCTGTACCCCCAGGACCCCTCTGGATCCGCCCCTGCTTAGAATACTATGACACACAAATTAACTATACCACGTTCATCATTGGCCGAGATTTTTGTTAATTTGCACCAAAATTCTTGACACTTGATGACAGAGGATAAAGATGTTAAAGCTCTACATCGCTTCTTAATTTCATATATTACTACTTAAATATTGTCACAACACATTATTTAAGAGGGAGATGTCAAGTTAATGGATGAAGTACAGGCAAACCCCGTTATTCATAGCCTCGGTATTCGTAACCCAGTTTATCCACAATCAATTTATTGTTACCCATTTCCACTATTCGCAATGGTTGCCCCTTTTATTGGCAAATTCTTACGAGCAAAAATTTTGAACCGCTCGCCTCAATCGTAGCGAGACAGCGTGTGTACGAATTTCTCCGCCATACGCTCCTTTCTCAGTCTCACACGTGCTGGCGTGTGTTTTGTGTGATCTCGCAGTTGTGTTTTGTGTGATCTCGCAATGCCTGCGACCAGCTATAAACTCCCACCAATGTTAAGCAGAGATCACGTAACAGTTACGTTGGACATGAAATTGGATATCGTAAAATGACATGAATACGGAAAAGGAACGTCAGTGTTCGCGTGGACAGCTTGGCTTCCTCTACTGTGCATTCTATAGTTAAAAGTGCCGACAAGATCAAGGAGATGGCCGGGTCTGCAACACCACTGACGGCTACGAAGGCGACGAGGTTCTGTGATGCTGAGATGGAGAGTATGGAGCGGATGTTGAGCACGTGGATTGACGACCAGACCCAGCGCCTTAAAACACAGTGGGGAGAGTGAGGTGGCTGACGACCCTGGCAGTGATGATGAGAGTGAGGTGGCTGACGACCCTGACAGTGAGGAGAGTGAGGTGGCTGACAACCCTGGCAGTGATGATGAGAGTGAGGTGGCTGACGACCTGGCAGTGATGATGAGAGTCAGGTGGCTGACGACCCTGGCAGTGTGAGGAGAGTGAGGTGGCTGACGACCCTGGCAGTGAGGAGAGGAGGTGGCTGACGACCCTGGCAGGATGATGAGAGTGAGGTGGCTGACGACCTGGCAGTGAGGAGGAGTGAGGTGGCTGACGACCCTGGCAGTGATGATGAGAGTGAGGTGGCTGACGACCCTGGCAGTGATGATGAGAGTGAGGTGGCTGACGACCTGGCAGTGAGGAGAGTGGAGGTCTGACGACCCTGGCAGGAGGAGAGTGAGGTGGCTGACGACCCTGGCAGTGAGGAGAGTGAGGTGGCTGACGACCCTGGCAGTGATGATGAGAGTGAGGTGGCTGACGACCCTGGCAGTGAGGAGAGAGTGAGGTGGCTGACGACCCTGGCAGTGATGATGAGAGTGAGGTGGCTGACGACCCTGGCAGTGATGATGAGAGTGAGGGCTGGACGACCTGGCAGTGATGATGAGAGTGAGGTGGCTGACGACCCTGGCAGGAGGAGAGTGAGGTGGCTGACGACCCTGGCAGTGATGATGAGAGTCAGGTGGCTGACGACCCTGGCAGTGAAGAGAGTGAGGTGGCTGACGACCCTGGCAGTGAGGAGAGTGAGGTGGCTGACAATCCTGGCAGTGAGAGAGTGAGGTGGCTGACTACCCTGGCAGTGAGGAGAGGAGGTGGCTGACTACCCCTGGCAGTGAGGAGAGTGTGGTGGCTGACGACCCTGGTAGGTGAGGAGAGTGAGGCTGACGACCCTGGCAGTGAGGAGAGTGAGGTGGCTGACGACCCTGGCAGTGAGGAGAGGAGGTGGCTGATGACCCTGACAGTGAGGAGAGTGAGGTGGCTGATGACCCTGGCAGTGAGGAGAGGAGGTGGCTGACGACCCTGGCAGTGAGGAGAGTGAGGCTGACTACCCTGGCAGTGAGGAGAGTGAGGTGGCTCACGACCCTGGCAGTGAAGAGAGGAGGCTGACTACCCTGGCAGGAGAGAGTGCCTGACAACCCTGGCAGTGAGGAGAGGTGGCTGACGACCCCTGCCTCCTCTCATCCTCTCCCCAATACCAACTTCAGCAAGCAAGCAACACAGCACATCAGAGATAAATTAACAGTCTACGTTTAGAACTTACTTCACACACCTACGCACATAAACATTCAGACACTCACACATGTAAAGTACCCCTGTATACTGTACTTGTAAACATATACGCCTAATAAACTCAAAGTGTTTGTTATTGATGTTTATTTTATATATTGCCCTTGTTTCTTTATTTATTTTATGTTCTATATGTATTGAGTAAAACAAGTGTTAAAATCTGACGGCCGTGACCACCTGTATCCCCTCTATTTACATTATTTCTTATGGGAGAAATTGCTCCGCTATTTGCAATTTCGATATTCTCAACGAGCTTCATGCCCGTAACCTTTGTGATAAGTGAGGCAGCCCTGTATTAAATAATCTGTCCGTGGGTGTGAGAAATATTTTTGTTGGTTGAGTATCACAGTGCTGACATCTATTGATAGTTAAGAGTTGACGTCGAGATAAGCGAAATTCCCGCCAAGGCCAGTGTCTGTTTCCCTGTGTGTTTCTCCCCCAGACTGCACGTCTGTGCATATTTATACAGTTTTGTCAGTTACATAAATCATTTGGGATATATCCAGCCATACAAACAGTAGTTCATTACCTATTTTGCTATATATTTGGTATCATTTGTTTCTGTATGTTTTATGTTTGGTTCAAAACAAAGAAATATGAAAAAGCTTCATTTGAAAGTAAATCTCAATATTGACTTCGACCTTTTATGATAAATATTTAACATTTTCTAACATCCTTTCTAATATGCTGATTCCTTAAAATCATTTGCATTTTGATATTCAAGATATTTAACAATCTTTTAGATAATAACAGGTCTGACTACCAATTGTGAACACATTTAGTCTGAATAAATGGACAGCTACATGAACATTTTCTATGAACCAATCAGCTATTTGTAGCTATAGACAAGGGGTATGGCTTATGGGCCAGGTTAGTGCAGAAATAATATAGTCTGTTATATTGAGGTTTACTGTACCAAGGTGATGTGCTTGTTGATAACAAGGAAATCAATGATGCTTGAAGAAAAATTACAAGAAACTATTGAATGAAAAGTGGGAATAGGGCAGGCAAGCTAGGGGTAGTAGAACCAGCACGGGAACCGTGCCCAGGGACTGAAAGAGAAGAATGGGTGAAGAAAGTTATTGACAAAATGGAGACCCGAATAGAAGCTGGAAGCTCAGGAATAGTTGTAGTACTGTGATGCTGAAAGTATCAGATGACATAGGCGTGTCAATGGTGACTAAAGTGACTAATGGAATCATGGTGGAATGTACTTTTCCAGACAACTGAAGGAAGAGTGTTATCAGGAATACCTACAAGGGTAAAGGTGATGCACTTGAACACAGGAACTACAGGGGCTTGAAGCTGTTAAGTCTGGCTATGAAAGTTTGGGTTTATGTCAAGTAGGGGGACTACAGAGGCAATATGTATGGCCAGTACAAGAAAAATATCCAGGGACGGAGATTTAGTTCTATTTCCTGTTTGTAGACTTAGCGAGGGCATTTGATGGTGTACTATGTGGAGTAGTACAATGGGCAGTGAGAAAGCCAGGAATCGAGGAGTTCCTTGTTGAGTGGTTATGGCATTATGTGGAGGCTCACAAACTTCTGTGAGAGTAAATGGTTGAAAGGTAATCCCATCAGGGTCTGTCTTGAGCCTCCTTCTGTTGTCCCAAAGAAAGGTGTTGGCAGCAACTCCGTAATGTACAGTGAGTGTGGAAGGTGGGTACACAAGAGAGGTGCAGTGGAGTAGATGGTAGACTGCAGGAGGTTGCTGACTTTAAATGTTCTGTATGTGCAGATAACTATATGCCCACAGCAAGGCTGGAGAAACTCAACATTGGGGATATGTTCCTGACTGTGTTGATGTGTTCTGTTCCTGGGTGACATGATCACTGCTGGTGGGGGTGCTGAAGCCTACTCAGTTACAAGAGTCAGAAGTGGCTGTAGGAAGTTTAGGGAGTTGCTGCCTTTATTGACAGCAAGAGGACCTTCTTTTCATGTGAAAGGAAAGATGTATGTGGCATGCAAAAAAGATGTGATGGGCAGTTAAACAGGAGAAGATATGTTGGCTTGAACGAATTGAAATGAGACCTATGAGGTGGATGTGTGCAATGTAACACTGAGAGACAGAAGACCCTGTTCAGGGCTAAGAGGGTAGCTGGGTATTGAGAGTATTGGCTGGCTGTGATGGTTTGGTCATGTGGAGAGACTGGACAAGACAAATTGGGTCAAGAGATGCACGAGCCTAAATGTGGAGGGGAAGAGACCCAGAGGTAGATCAAGAATGACATGGGAAGAAATGGCATTAGAGTTAAGGACCTGACAAGAGAGACTGCAAGAAACCGGGCAGCATTGAGAGCTGCCATCAGTAGTGCAGCTAACTCATGCAAGCTTGAAAAATGGCCGTAAAATGTTGAGGATGATGATGAGTCAGACTGTATTTACCTCCAATAATAATCAGAAGTTTTTTGTAAAATTTGTTTTAACTCTGATTCTACTTTGCAGGAATTTACTGATGGCAGTGAATACATGGCTGGCAGCGATATAGGTGTATCATGAAGATTGTGTGGACACTAACTATGACAAGTTACTTACACCAGTACAGTATGGTCAAACACTTTCTATCCCATACACCATTTTCCTTGACCATGGACACTAGCATGGTGGGGTGAAATGTGATATTACAGTCGACCAGAGTTGATTGTTACATAGGTATGAATACATCTGTCTGCTGGAGATTAACTAATTAAAGTTTTGCATGTTAACGTGTAAATTATTTGCCTTTATTGTAGGGTTTTGGGCCATCTCTTGTCCTTCCTTCCTTCCTTCCTTATATAAATACCTTCTATAAAGTTCATAAATATTGAAAGTGATGTAAGTACTGTAGATCTTCAGTTTAGGACTTACCTGACCTGTAGTCAGTACAATGTGCTCTACTATTTGTACATCAACTTGTAAATTATTGAACTTCTTCATTGCTTCTGGAATATCAAATGTGACTTGTCAGCAATTATGGAAATTCAGAAATTAGTGTTTACATTTGGTGTTTTGAGCTAAATTGACTTTGGTAATAAGTTAAGCGATGGTTCAGAAGATGGCAGTGGTGCAGTGTACATTACCCTGGAGGAGTGTTCCAGCATTGTTCACAGTGACAGTATACACAACAGAGCAGTAGTGTCCACAGTGGAACAGTGTACACTACAGCAATAGTGTCCACAGTGGAACAGTGTACACTACAGCAGTAGTGTTCACAGTGGAACAGTGTACACAACAGCAGTAGTGTTCACAGTGGAACAGTGTACACAACAGCAGTAGTGTTCACAGTGGAACAGTGTACACAACAGCAGTAGTGTTCACAGTGGAACAGTGTACACAACAGTAGTAGTGTTCACATGGAACAGTGTACAACAGCAGTAGTGTTCTGATGAACAGTGTAACAGCAGTAGTGTTCACAGTGGAACGTTGCACAGCAGTAGTGTTCACAGTGGAACAGTGTACACAACACATAGTGTTCACAGTGGAACAGTGTACACAACAGCAGTAGTGTTCGTGGAACAGTGTACACAACAGCAGTAGTGTTCACAGTGGAACAGTGTACCACAACAGCAGTAGTGTTCACAGTGGAACAGTGTACACAACAGCAGTAGTGTTCACAGTGGAACAGTGTACACAACAGCAGTAGTGTTCACAGTGGAACAGGTATACAACAGCAGTAGTGTTCACAGTGGAACAGTGTACACAACAGCAGTAGTGTTCACAGTGGAACAGTGTACACAACAGCAGTAGTGTTCACAGTGGAACAGTGTACACAACAGCAGTAGTGTTCACAGTGGAACAGTGTACACAACAGCAGTCGTGTTCACAGTGGAACAGTGTACACAACAGCAGTAGTGTTCACAGTGGAACAGTGTACACAACAGCAGTAGTGTTCACAGTGGAACAGTGTACACAACAGCAGTAGTGTTCACAGTGGAACAGTGTACACAACAGCAGTCGTGTTCACAGTGGAACAGTGTACACAACAGCAGTAGTGTTTTCAGTGAAACAGGTAGTTGGTGACTCAGTTTCCTGAGCCTCTCACTACATAACTCCTAGCTCAGGAAACTGCCATATTAGGCAGCGAGAAACAGTTTTGGGGATTTTAGCATTTATAATATTGTTATCAAAGTTTATTTTCATTTAAGAAAAATATTGATAATTAAGAAGTCCCCAGTGATAGTAAAATGTTGTTCCTGTGTTTGTCACTTGACACATCTTCTGTATTGTGACTTTTGTGTCCACACAGACCTTGTTATATTTCCTCTGTACTGTAATGAGAAAAGTAACTTCAGTCACCTCTTTATTGCTAAATTTTTATGAATTCATAATTGCATAAAATATTATACAGTATATTAAAGTGTGAAGGTACAGTACTGGTAATGTGTCTTGTTGTGTGAAGGTACAGTACTGGTAATGTGTCTTGTTGTGTGAAGTGCAGTACTGTTGTTCTTGTTGTGTGAAGGTACAGTACTGGTAATGTGTCTTTTGTGTGAAGTACATACTGGTAATGTGTCTTGTTGTGTGAAGGACGTCTAATGTGTCTTGTTGTTAACAATTGGTAATGTGTCTTGTTGTGTGAAGGTACAGTACTGGTAATGTGTCTTGTTGTGTGAAGGTACAGTACTGGTGATTGTGTTGTGTGTGAAGGTACAGTACTGTGTGTGTCTTGGTGTGTGAAGGCAGTACTGATGTGTCTTGTGTGGAAGTACAGTACTGGTAATGTGTCTTGGTGTGTGAAGGTACAGTACTGGTAATGTGTCTTGTTGTGGGACAGTACTGGTTTGAGGCAGTACTGGTAATGTGTCTTGGTGTGTAAGGTACAGTACTGGTAATGTGTCTTGGTGTTGAAGGTACAGTACTGGTAATGTGTCTTGTTGTGTGAGGTACAGTACTGGTAATGTGTTTTGTTGTGTGAAGGTACAGTACTGGTAATGTGTCTTGTTGTGTGAAGGTGCAGTACTGGTAATGTGTCTTGTTGTGTGAAGGCACAGTACTGGTAATGTGTCTTGTTTGTGAAGGCACAGTACTGGTAATGTGTCTTGTTGTGTGAAGGTACAGTACTGGTAATGTGTCTTGTGTGAAGGTACAGTACTGGTAATGTGTCTTGTTGTGTGAAGGTACAGTACTGGTAATGTGTCTTGGTGTGTGAAGGTACAGTACTGGTATGTGTCTTGTTGTGTGAAGGCACAGTACTGTATGTGTCTTGTTGTGTGAAGGTACAGTACTGTGTGTGTCTTGTTGTGTGAAGGTACAGTACTGGTAATGTGTCTTGTTGTGTGAAGGTACAGTACTGGTAATGTGTCTTGTTGTGTGAAGGCACAGTACTGTGTGTGTCTTGTTGTGTGAAGGCACAGTACTGGTAATGTGTCTTGTTGTGTGAAGGTGCAGTACTGGTAATGTGTCTTGTTGTGTGAAGGTACAGTACGGTAATGTGTCTTGGTGTGTGTGAAGGTACAGTACTGGTAATGTGTCTTGTTGTGTGAAGGTACAGTACTGGTGTGTCTTGTTGTGTGAAGTGCATACTGGTAATGTGTCTTGTTGTGTGAAGGTACAGTACTGGTAATGTGTCTTGTTGTGTGAAGTGCAAGTACTGGTAATGTGTCTTGTTGTGTGAAGGTGCAAGTACTGGTAATGTGTCTTGTTGTGTGAAGGTACAGTTCTGGTGTGTGTGTGTTGTGTGAAGGTACAGTACTGGTAATGTGTTTGTTGTGTGAAGGTACAGTACTGTGTGTGTCTTGTTGTGTGAAGGTACAGTACTGTAATGTGTCTTGTTGTGTGAAGGTGCAGTACTGGTAATGTGTCTTGTTGTGAAGTACAGTGTATGTGTCTGGTGTGAAGGTACAGTACTGTGTGTGATATTTGTTGTGTGAAGGTACAGTGCTGGTAATGTGTCTTGTTTGTGTGAAGGTACAGTACTGGTAATGTGTTTTGTTGTGTGAAGGTACAGTACTGGTAATGTGTCTTGTTGTGTGAAGGTACAGTACTGGTAATGTGTCTTGTTGTGTGAAGGTACAGTACTGGTAATGTGTCTTGTTGTGTGAAGGTACAGTACTGGTAATGTGTCTTGTTGTGTGAAGGTACAGTACTGGTAATGTGTCTTGTTGTGTGAAGGTACAGTACTGGTAATGTGTCTTGTTGTGTGAAGGTACAGTACTGGTAATGTGTCTTGTTGTGTGAAGGTACAGTACTGGTAATGTGTCTTGTTGTGTGAAGGTACAGTACTGGTAATGTGTCTTGTTGTGTGAAGGTACAGTACTGGTAATGTGTCTTGTTGTGTGAAGGTACAGTACTGGTAATGTGTCTTGTTGTGTGAAGGTACAGTACTGGTATGTGTCTTGTTGTGTGAAGGTACAGTACTGGTAATGTGTCTTGTTGTGTGAAGGTACAGTACTGGTAATGTGTCTTGTTGTGTGAAGGTACAGTACTGGTAATGCATCTTGTTGTGTGAAGGTACAGTACTGGTAATGTGTCTTGGTGTGTGAAGGTACAGTACTGGTGATGTGTCTTGTTGTGTGAAGGATTCTTAAATAATGAGGTTTTTGTGACACATTGTATATAAAGTGAATATTATGTTAAGTGGCCTGAAATAGGTTGTATGGGGTGGCTCATAGATTGTACACACATGTACAGTCACTTAGGAAAGTTGTGTCAGTCCTCCGTCCCCTCCATGAACCCTGAGACTCATGAACCTGTTAATCTGAGACAACACACAAAGTTACATGATTGGACCCATAGATGGTATACTGGGTAGTGAGATCTTGAGGGGGGTTGCAGGTTAAATCAGTGAATTACCTAAAGTACAGTGCAATATAGTGCCTACCTATGTGAAGTGGTTTATATATTCATGTTTGGTTTTATTATTACAGTTGATATTATATCACTTACCTTATACAGGTACTCATCATCGTACACTTTGACCATTGGGATAAATACTCATCTTCTGCCTGTAAGTAGTCATGGGTATAATGATAGGATGACTGAGACACCAGTCTGGTTTTAAATGTTCGGTCTTGCTTATTCACGTGAGTATTTATTTTGGGCTCTAGGAACGGGAACTAGATGAGGCAGTATGAAGTTTGTGTGTAATGATGCTACACTACAAACATATACCAGACACTTGAGGTTATTATCTCATTTAAGAATATATATCCTTAAAAAAAGTAAACATGCTATACAGTTTGGAATACTGTACATAGTAGGCTGTATAGTAGTCATAAATTAATATATATTAACTTTTAGGTCTTCTTTATATTTTCATTGTTGTTTATTATACATGGGTATGAGTCGTAAGAGGTCAAAGCATAAGTTACATACTTAATTCATACTGGTAAGAAGTCAGTCAGGTTGAGGCAGGTGTTTGGGCACTGTCTCACAGATAACCAGACTCTACAGGCTTGTCTCTCAGTTGCCTGGCAGTACTGTTCTTTGCCTACCTCCCAGTCCTGGCCCATTAAACCTACCCTAACCTAACCTTACCTTACCTATTATAACATAACATGACTTAACCTTACCTAACATATAACCTAACCTAACCTCTCAGTCCTTGCACATTATAACCCATAGGACAGTGGAGCTTGTGTGTCTCAGGATATTGGGTGAACCTTCCCTCACCACATTGTTACAGTTGTTGGACCTGCTACCCGAAAATAGTGCTACCTATTCTCCTGAGGCCTTACCAGAGAAGGAGCTACTTGCCAGTCATTATGATTGAAATATTATATAGTTACATTAAATGCTTAGTATATGTTATCAGTGACACCCCCTCCTCAAGTTACCTTGACCCAGGGCACCATCTATGAGCTCAATGATGCAACTATGTGTGTTGTCTCAGATTCACAGGCTCATGAGTCTCAGGGGTCATGGACTGACAGGACTTTCTTATGTGACTGTGCAAATCAATGAAGATGGTAGAGAATTTAGCACTAGAGGAGAGAGTCGGTTACTATTCATATATGGAGAACCAGATGTTATGTGTTGTTGATTAAGTTTTCTCGCTGTGATCATTTTGTAGCATCTGTTTTTCTCTACTTCAATGTTAAACTGACTCATTCCTCTAGTGTTCATTTCTCTGCCATCTTCGTTGGTTTGTTACAAATCCATCACCTGAAATAAAAAGAGGAACAACAATTTCCCGATGTGTGCAACCTATGAGGTACCCTGTACATGTGTGTTTGTGTGACCTATGAGACCCTGTATATGTGTGTGTGTGTGTGTGACCTATGAGACCCTGTACATGTGTGTGTGACCTATGAGACCCTGTACATGTGTGTGTGTGATCTATGAGACCCTGTACATGTGTGTGTGTGATCTATGAGACCCTGTACATGTGTGTGTGTGACCTATGAGACCCTGTACATGTGTGTGTGTGATCTATGAGACCCTGTACATGTGTGTGTGTGACTTGAGACCCTGTACATGTGTGTGTGTGTGACCTATGAGACCCTGTACATGTGTGTGTGTGACATGAGACCCTGTACATGTGTGTGTGTGACCTATGAGACCCTGTACATGTGTGTGTGTGTGACTTATGAGACCCTGTACATGTGTGTGTGACCTATGAGACCCTGTACATGTGTGTGTGTGACCTATGAGACCCTGTACATGTGTGTGTGTGACCTATGAGACCCTGTACATGTGTGCGTGTGACCTATGAGACCCTGTACATGTGTGTGTGTGACCTATCAAAGTGTAAGTAAACTTAAGTATTAATTGAATTTGAGTTTGTAAGTAAGTCGTTTAAGTATATCAGTTGAGGGTTGAGAGGACAATCACATTACAGCACGGTATTTACACTGATGTATTAACTCACATTATACTTTGATTTATGTTATATTGTTTACCTGTATATGTACTGTATTTTAAGGACATTTGTTATTGGGAATGTACATATGTAAATAAGTTTTCAGCTGTCATATTAAGAGATATTATAATGCGTTACAAACTTACTCTTATCATGCTATTATGGTTTTATTTACCCGACATCGTCTCTTTAAAATACATAGTCGTTTTTTACCTGCCTTACATAATACAGGCATATCATGAAAATCAAATGACCATTTTGATTAAAATACTGTATATAGATATTTCTGCACTGGGCTAAAGAATCAATATACAACTTAATTTCTGAATATATGGGATGTGTGAGTGTGCTGAAAGGCAGCCAAGTGGCACATCACCTTCATGTCTCTCTCTCTCTCTCTCTCTCTCTCTCTCTCTCTCTCTCTCTCTCTCTCTCTCTCTCTCTCTCTCTCTCTCTCTCTCTCTCTCTCTCTCTCTCTCTCTCTCTCTCTCTCTCTCTCTCTCTCTCTCTCTCTCTCTCTCTCTCTCTCTCTCTCTCTCTCTCTCTCTCTCTCTCTCTCTCTCTCTCTCTCTCTCTCTCTCTCTCTCTCTCTCTCTCTCTCTCTCTCTCTCTCTCTCTCTCTCTCTCTCTCTCTCTCTCTCTCTCTCTCTCTCTCTCTCTCTCTCTCTCTCTCTCTCTCTCTCTCTCTCTCTCTCTCTCTCTCTCTCTCTCTCTCTCTCTCTCTCTCTCTCTCTCTCTCTCTCTCTCTCTCTCTCTCTCTCTCTCCTCTCTCTCTCCTCTCTCTCTCTCTCCTCTCTCTCTCTCTCTCTCTCTCTCTCTCTCTCTCTCTCTCTCTCTCTCTCTCTCTCTCTCTCTCTCTCTCTCTCTCTTTCATATCAAATTCTTGCGACTATCATTAGTAACACAGATTCTTGATCATATACTGCCAGCATAGTCCCTGGGCCTTCCTAGTTGTCAGTCTCATGCTGTCCTTTGTCCTCTACCAGTATAATATCTCAATCTCCTTCAGGTTATCAGGGCCGGATCCAGGCTGATACAACTGATTTACTTGAATCGCTCAAAAAGTTCTGATCAATACAAAGGAATCATGTGCATCGGTCAAATAACTGACCTTTTGGTAACGTGATCTCATTGTCAGTGTTGATCTGCATGGCTGCCACTTAACGTCCCTTAGTGGCATGTTTGACAAACTGTCCCCAGGGATGGAATAACCAGAGTGGGGCCTGGGTGGTGGGGGTAAGGTCACAGGTAAGGTTACACTCACTTCTCCTCCTGACCCACATCACCTAAACTCTAGCCAGGATTCCCCCTTGAGGCATCATGCAGTAGTCACCTTTGACAATGTCAGGTGACCAGGGCCAGAATAAGGTTGTGAGGGGCACAATACCCGGAGTTTTAAGCAACATCTTTCCCTCTCCAACAAAGACCCTGCCTGTGTGCTGTGGTGTGTGGGTGTTGTGTGTGTGTGTGTGTGTGGGTGTTATGTGTGTGGGTGGTATATATGTGTGTGTGCTGTGGTGTGTGTGTGTGCGCTGTGGTGTGTGTGTGTGTGTGCGCTGTGGTGTGTATGTGTGGGTGGTGTGTGTGTGCTGTGTGTGTGTGTGTGGTGTTTGTGTGCTGTGGTGTGTGTGTGTGTGCTG